ATTGCAAGGGAAACAATCTGTCCTGAAGAGTCGTCGCCAAAAAATGGCCGGAAGGTGGCCCACACAATGTTGGAACTTCGTCGAAAAATTTTCTTTGGACAGCTACAGTACCGCCGGAGATTTTCACTGAGATTTGGTCGCCGGATAGTGACTACTCTTGTGGTAGTGTTGGATTTTGTGCACAACACTGACCGAGACAAAGCAGGCGCAAAACAACTTTGAAAGTCGCCGGAAAAAAAAGGGTTCCGGTGACTGATTTTACTTCCCGGAATCGCTGGAATTTATGCACAGCGATAAATCTCTCACGATAGCTCTGATACCATGTGAGAAGGCACGGGAGAAAATATGATATATTGATATTGTATGTGATGCAATACAAGAGGTGCTATTTATAGCTACTCTATACAAAGGGGATACTACTCCTATTCCAATGTGGGACAATTACATAGCTATCTCTAACAAAGTTTACTACTAAGGACAAATACTAAGAGTTGTCAGTCCAAAAGGATTTGCATGTAGGTGAGCAAGGGAGGACAATGGTCATGAGACTGGATTTCTGTGAGGTTAAAAGCCATTTCTTTACATTGAACACCACATCCAATCTTTTCTGTTGTGATGGTTTGAAATCCCTGTTTTGCATGTCATGATAGTCAAGAACGCTCGTGAAATAGAGAAAAAAGTTACACACTGAGAAGGTCTCCTTAGGAAATTAATGCATAATATACACCAGCTGACCATATCAATATTATATTTGTGATGATTGTTTAAGGTATAGAAGGCTTCGGAGACTTGACCTCCTCTGTAGAAAAGAATATGTCATTTACTTTTGCTTTTGTCACAGCCTGTGTGAATTTATTTGTTTTAACTCTCACTTTTGCTTTATGCAGGTGCCAACATTGGGAAAAGGAGCTTGAGATCAAGGAAATGAAAGAACAAATGAGAGAACTAATAGGTGTACTGCGACAGAGTGAAATTAGGAGAAAGGAAGTCGAAAAGGATCTGAAAGTGAGAGAGAAACCCGTTACAATATCATTAGCTTCATCAGCTTCGGTAGGATTTACTTTCTTGCATTTCCATTTTTTTCCCTGCCTCATGCTTTTAGTTTTCGACCTCTTTTAGAGAAAACATGCAAGGATCTTAATCAAATATATTACTATTTTCAATTATTTGTCCAAATGAAACCAGAGGCGTATCCAGAATTTTAAGAGCATGGGTGCACCACTATCTTTAGATAGATATATGATTTGACAATATAATTTTTTACGATAACCCAAGTTGACGGGCAAACTCTAATTAATATTATTAGTATTATTTATGTCCTCGACGAGTTTTCATTCAACAACTATCAATTATAGTATCATTACTTACAGTTTTAAATATCTTAAGTTATATATAGCAAGCTAAAAATTATCAAAAAATTCTTCGTCCATCCTATTACGTGGATCTTTTTATGTACTTCTATATCCATATAGATTTATGAATTGCATTATAAGTTTTGATTATAGTGGGAGATTAAGATTAATTTTATTTCTTTTTCTAGTACTTTATTTCTTGACAAAATGTAAACACATTTCATGAAACATTTTAGTGAAAGATTTCTTTTTAAAGAATAACTTAAGGCCATAACCAAGAAAGAAGAGGAAACAATAAGAAAACAGAAATATTTTTAAATAAAAAGTCTAAGGGAGCAAGTAGGGATCGAACCATTGACCTTGGGGGCGAGGTCGCACTCATTTTACCACTGAGCCAAAGTGCTCACTTGAGCATGGGTTCACACATGCTTATTTAAGAAGAAAATCAGAAAAATACAAGTGCTATACATAATCTAGGGAGGGGAGCATGGGTTCATATGAACCCACCCCCTCCCATATAGATCCGCCCCTAAATGAAACCTTTCCGAATTTTTTTTTGTGCCTCACACGACCGACACTAGTGATGTGAGGCCTCTTTTTTGTCTCACAATTTTGTGACCCAAAAGTGTAAAATATGGGTCCACAAATTTGTGAGAAAAAAAGAGGCCTCACACAGCTAACATTAGTTGTGTGAGGCACACCATAAAACTTCTCAACCTTTCCTATGTATTATCTGGTTACTGAAACTGCCATTTGAGTAAATAAAGCTGTTAGAAAAAATCCAAATGCATTTATTCTGGTTTTGCTTTTTATTTCTTTTTCTTCTGGTGAACACTTGAAGTATTGTTCTTTCCTTTAACTGAAATGTTGAAATACGAAGCAGGCTTATCCTGACAAACACTTTGTGGATGACACAAGAGGTCTCTTGTCTCCAGTCCCTGTTCGGGCACAAAAGCAGCTCAAATATTCGGCTGGAATTGCTAGTGCTTCGTTCAGAGAGGCAGCAACCTTTATCGATCAAACACGAAAGGTTTCTCCCGCGATCTCCTTTTCTTCTTTGGCAGTTCCTTTAATCACTTAGCACTAGCATCACGCATGGCTGATAGTGCACTCTTTGATGACTGCAGATGGTGCCACTCGGCCAGTTGTCAATGAAAAAACCGAAAGCTGCAGGACAAGGTGGGAAGCTATGGAGATGCAAGAGAAGTCATCATCAATGGATATTACAGTTCAAATGGAAGTGGCAAAAACCCTGGAGACTTTCGGAATGGATTAGGCACGACAATGAAACAATGATGAGGGCACGTCATCGTAAGCGGGCTCTGCCAAGTCACTAACTTCCGTGTGCAAACTATATATTCCGCTCTTATCTCTCTCGATCCCCAACACATCGTACAGAAAGGGAATGGAAATAAGTGCAGGTAATGTTAATCTATTTTGAGTTAAAATTATAGGGTAAATTTCATTCTGCATATCCTCTGGGCTCTTAAGATAGTGATACTGTCTTTGCTAAGATAATTTTAACATATGAATACATGTTCGAGTGACTTAGCGAAATTGATACCATGATATTAATAGCAATTGATTAAGAAATATCTTAACTTAAAGTGTCTGACCTTCCAGCCACCCTTTTGCATGATAAGAACCAGATAGTATTAAATGAATACTAACAAATAATGAATTTTTTTTTAAAAGTTCAAAAGTAGCAATAAAATTCTGGAAATTCTTGACCAAGTGAAAATTTAAGAGGCAACAAAGTCCTTGAATCTGCTATAGAAGGGTCAAATTGCCTGCTCATAGATATCAATATACTTCAATAGATTCTTATCATTTTACTGTATTATCTTGAATCCCTTTCTTTGTCATAATTATTGGCATCTACAATAGGGGATTCTATTTGCAGGGTGCAGTTCAAGTGGCAGTAGGGAGCATTTTGTTTTAGGTGTTACATGATGTGGATTTTCCGAGGACTTATATCTGATCTTGAATTTTAAAGATCGGTCATTATTCATCAGCGGTATCTTGTGAATACATGTTGAGGCTACATAAACGCGCGTGAGTGATCCCAAAACAATATTTAGAAGGTGGATATGAGTAAGTTGCTGGCAGAATTTCAGTTACACAACATATCGCCAGTCTGTGTATACTTTTTGGCAAATGCATTCATCTTGAAAGATATTCTTGAGGAGCATGTGCAGACTTCCTTTGAGTTTTTGTATTATTTTTGACAAATTTATGTAAATGTAGTATATCTTATGTAGTACAATGTTGAATTTGTTTACAGTTTTGAACAAGAGAATTCTTTAAAGCAGAAAACTTAGTTTCTTATGGTCCACTTTTTCATTTTATCCTTAGGTGTTTTAGGTAATAGCATTTGGTATGATGTACAGCTGGTTCAAGAATACTTGCCGTTTTAGGAGAGCGAATTTGTTCTACTCTCTCTCTCTCTCTCTCTGTACGCTACTGGTTCATATAGTCTAGAGTTTTGGACAGCTTACCATCAACAAGTGATTAATTTCTTGGAAATTTGGTTTGAGTTTAAAGTTTAAACAATATTACAGTGTAAAGGTTAAGACTGTTACAAGTGATTATATTTGCACATAATATTTGTTGAACTATTACTCATTCATTATGTATCTTTCAGAAACAAAAACATACAAATTCACAAGCTAACATTGGTTACGCATCAATTATATTAGATGACATCTCAAACAGCAAATGGGGGCACAACATTCGGCGGAGAATTGAATGCATTTTTGTTTACTGTGTAAAACGGTACAGGTAAATTTGTTACGTGGTTTATAGACAAACGAACTGATTTAATTCAAAAATGATAAATGCACTAGATTAGAAATAAGACTTAGCGATTAAAATCAAAGGAAACAACAAGCTTGGCTCCGAGAGTAGTGCCTCTAGGGACATAAATGAGAATAATATAAAAGGTAAGTAAAGTTACTTGATTTAGCTTTGAGAATAGAATGTATCATAAGTTTTGCCAAGAATTTTGTGTCTTACAATGACTGTTGAGTCTATTATAGGGAAACAAGATCCTAGGAACAAGCCCCTCTTAAATGACAATAAAGAGGGCCATTGATGAATATTGAACGGCACGCCATGAATGTAAATATTCTCTACAACTGCTGCCCATTTAATGCCAGAGAATATTCTTCATTGAATGCTATCTGATGGCAAGCATTTGATTCTACTCACGTTGATCATATTCCCTTCGGGGCTAGCCCGATGTCAATTGCACACGTTTTTTCCGGTGCTGGTTACTATGCAATTTACTTTCTACCTGTCATCGGGTCCACATGTTATGTTGCCATTTGATCATTTTATGTAAACCAATTTTACCCTACACAAATACTCCTCCTGCTTTCTGGTGGCATATCTTTGTGTCATCGAAAAGTTGGTAAAGATCCCTTTCTTGGTAGGAAATCTTCTGAAAACCCTTTGAATAGTTTCTGATGCTTGAAAGGACGCACGTCTTCTCGCATTTAATACCCCGAACACGTGTTGCCACACGGTTTAGCAATATTTTCGCCGGTTCTCGAGGTACTCATGACCATGATCTTTGCAGTATATATATATACTTATACTCATCATCTTACCTCTTTTACTTCCAAAATTTTCATAAGTTTCTTACCTTCTTTGCATTTAACCTTCTTCTGCTTTCGTCTCTTTCCGATTTTCTTCAAAAAAACTCCATCATCTTCTTACTATTATGACTTCTTTTACTAAGTCCCTTGAGAACTCTGGTTTTCTCTTCGGCGGAGGCCCGAAGAGAAGAAAGATAACGAGGTTGATGTCGATGCCGATCCTCCAACGGTAAGTACCATCATACCCAAATACTTGAGCACCGTTAATGACTTCCAAGAGAAGTTACCCTCTGTGCATCCACGGACTTGGGATGTTAGCAGGCATCCTTCCTCTATTTGCCCTTTTAGTATTCCTACTATAAAGGAGGACTGTAATTGCGCAAATCTTAACATCATTTCTCCTGACCTGATAGAGCGGGTCACCTTTACCAAATGAGGTTTTACGTATTTTTATACGTACCCCTTCACCTTGGGCCGTTTTCTTTGAGCGGGGGTCATGACCCCATGATCTTGGAGTTATACCGTCGGTACCAGGTCTACTTGGCACAAATTAGCCCTTCTGTGTGGCGAATGGTTGCTTTCCTACACCGGTTTTTTGCTGAGACTATGAAAAACCCTAACCCTTGCACACATGATGAATCGCTATTCCCCTAAAATCTTTCATGGGCGAGTAATAAATTTCAGTAAATGTGGTCACCACGTCCTACTTACTAGCGTTGATGATGACAATGATCGTGGGTGGATGGAGCGGTTTGTCATCGTTGTTACTAGGGATATCATCCCGGCCACAACTCTGCCCTTTCCTGAATCATGGAGTCGTTCACTTAAGTTTTCTTAATCTCTTTCCTTCGCAGAAAGGCCACTTCTCATCATTGTTAACCCTTTTGTCTTCGTTATTTCAGCTACTCGGTGGACACAACCAAGGGTTGAAGGCCTAGACCAATGATATATTACAATGACAGAAACCCATCAATGGAAGGAGATAGCCCCCAAATATGGGTGGAAGACCAAGAACCACGGTAAACTGAGTCATTCTACTTTCTGCCTCTATATATACATAAGTAAACTTTCTAACCGTATCTTTTTGTTTGACTCGGGGCTCTTGCTGGGCTCTATCACCTACCTTGAGGTCGAGGTTTTAGCCCATCTCATAGAGGCTGCAAGATTGTTACAAAGTACCCTCGCTCGAAGTGGTGCCCTCAGGTCTGCTTCCGGTAGGAGCACTTCCTCTCGGAGTCCCCAGCCAGAGAACAAGAGACCAAAAATGCGAATTTCTTCCTCGCCTGGGGATAAAAAGAAGAAAATAAAGAAGGCCACAACTGAGCCAGCCGTGGTCGCAGTGGTCATTGAAGATGATAGGAAAGGTAGTGATGAAGAGGCTTCCCTTCAACAGAGACAACGATCTCTATCAGCTCAACAGAATGCTCAACCGGGAGAGCATTTAGAACCGGCCAATAAACATGCCCAAACACTGTGGGGTGAGATGGATCTGGTAGATAATGCCAACTCCCGCTATATCCTATAATACCAACAACTTCACGTCCCTCTACACTAGCTGCACCTTCGCCATCAACATCTGTTGCATTTCTTCTGCCGGCCACAGACGCCCTAGAGGAGGGTGCTTCTCCTTCCCAGTCCCCAGACCACGAGAATTTGGGGCATAATTACTCACCCCCTTCCAGATCCTCGAGGGAGGAGGAGTGTCACTCTCTTGGTTTTAAAGGGGTGCCATATGCTGTCCAAGAAGGTGGAGCTCGCAAACGACCTGAAGCCGCTGGATTCAGAGAAAGATAAGAAGAAGATGCACTCCCTTTCAGGGGAGTGTATGTTGAATAACACCGTGCACATTGAGGCAGCGGTACCGTACTTGTTCTCTTAATGCTTATTCTTTAGTTATCTATTATAACAGGGTTTCTAACTTTGATATATGTTTTGCAGGCCAACTTCTTTGCTTATAAGGGCCTTCAGAGATTGATCCTTGATAAAGAGAGACTTATGTCCGAACGAGATCAACTGTTGGCCGAAAGGAATCAACTTGCTGCACGCCTCCCAGTGCTGGAGGCAAAGGCTGCTGAAATGGCCGAGCCTGAGGCGTGGTTGCAGCAGAGTGAACAGGAAGTGAAAGCCCACAACCAAGAAGCCAGTTAGCTACATGCACAACTTCATGATGCTAAGGCTAGGTGGGTTGAGCTTCAGGATGTTGTTCTTGCTGCTGCCGAGCGCGAGTCTTCCTCTATTGAACGAGTGAATAATTTGGAGGCAGCCTTGAGCTCCAAAAATGAGGAGGCTAATGCTACCGAAGAGAGGCGGGCCCAAATGGAGGAAATATTCAAGAAAATCATGTATCAAAATCGGCTTTACTTTTCCATAATCTGTGATCTTGATTCTAGCCTCATTGCCACGAGATCCGAGAGGGACAATTTTTTGGCCGAGGTTGAAAGACTTAAGAAAAACTCCATCACCAAGGGGACTCCTTCATCTTTGAAACAACGTACGCTATGTATTATATGAGGAGGAAAACCTTGAAGGAAGCCAAAGCGGGCATCGTTGATATTTATGATGAAATCGCCAAGGCCCAATCATTGGAGTTAACCGCTCGAGAACGTCTCCTGGCTAAGACTAACGCAACTGACTTTCCGAGTACCGGTTCTGAGTATTCGGGAACCAATAAGGAACTTGAAGAGAATGATGATGAAGGCCTAGGTCCTTAACCAGCGGCTGATCCACCCACTTCTCCCGAGGGGGGGGGGGCATAGATGCCTCTCTCCCTCCGAGTTTTATTGGCTACAATGTTTAGATTTTTCCTTTTTTCTTTTTCTGTTTTCCCTTTGTACTTTTGTACTTATGCCGTTTGGCATGTTGATAAATAAAGAAGACTTTTGCTCAAATATTGCGGAAAGTTTATTCTTTTTGCATCAAATTAGATAAGGCTTCGGGTGTATTTTCCTCCGGTAACTTTATTTTTCGGGCATAAACTCTTCCGGAACCAGTCATTTACTATGAGGATTTCATAAGAGAGGGCCTCTTTAGGTTTACAATGCTCTTGAAGAGGACGTCTCATGTTTATTTCGGCACAAGTTTTGAAGTTTTCTGTTAACTTTCAAATGATAAAATTAACTCATCGCTTGGACAAGAAACAAGATATACAAGATTTTATTTTGTTCCTTCCATCTTTAAAAGTACATAAGCATTTGATTGCTATAGAAAAGAAATTGCCAATACATGTGACTAACTCGTACAACTTATTTCTACGTGGCTGGCCATGTAGTCCTCGGTCCCGATGAAGACATTGTTGTTCCCGGGTCTCGTAGTCCCGATTTTTGTGGCATCGTTAATGCCGTATCCAATACTATTCCCCCCACCCCCCCGTGTTTCAACGCTAAGTATGCGAATTGGAACACTAGATATCTTGCCATGCTGTTAACACTTGTGGATGGTTAGATAGCCTTTGATTCGATGGCTAGTTTTGTTTCCCATTATGTATTTCCCATCGATCCAAAGACTATCTAACCATCCCATAGTGGTTTATGATCTCAATTGCTTTTTATTTAAAGGTCTTATCTTTGTCGATGACGCTCTCTTCGTAGTATGCATTCCATTGCTGTCTCGTTAAAAACCTTGCCAGAAAAACCCTATTGGGACAAAAACTGCTCGAAGGGAAAAAGAGTGCAGTACATACTTCAGTATAGGCAGGATCCATCAGCACTAATACCTTTTGAGATGAGTCAC